GAAGGCAAATAAGTTTAAATCAAATAAACAAAAGAGGATGCAGTTAAAATAAATCAAAGGTATTTAAGCTACATTTTGAACATCCAAAACGAGCCCAAAGCTTCAAGTTATCTGCTTGTGTTCTTCAGGTCAGACGTGTGTCAGGAAGCTCCTCTGTTGTTTTCCTCTGCTGCTCTCTGTTTAATGCTGGATGAAATAAAGAAAGTGCTGCTACTTTATTTACTTTGAGCAAGTGAACGTCGTGTTCACAAGATAATAACCGTATTTATTCATGTATAAAACGATCTCAAGTATAATACAATCATTATTTTTGAGCTTAAAAAGCATTAAAAATCTAACTATCAATAACCTGTGTATAATTCTACTCCCCCACTTTATGAATGATTTTTAGGATTAAAATTCTAGTATTATACATGAATAAATACAGTAATCCAGCAGATAATTCAGAGGTGGTCTGTTCAGTGAGTTTTACTCCAGGAACTGTGAGGCTTTCAGCTACGTTCAGACCAAACTCTGTTTATTGAACCAGCGGTGCTGACATCATTACGCTCTTGGGCGATGCTGCATTCAGGACAAGCTTGGAAAACTCACCACTCTTTATGCCAATATGGTCACCATGATGTGTTTAGGTACTGAAACATTGTACCGTTTGATGTTACTGACAGAATTTGGTCGGTACGTAAAAAGTATTGAATTCAGTACCCATCACTACTGATAATGTTCAGGTGRAGTGGGTTTGGCTCCTCCCCTGGGATGCAGAGCTTAAACAACTCGCTGTCCTTTGACTGGGGAAAGCACTCAAAGGTTTCCGGGTCTGCTCAGACATGTTTCAAACTTGAAACAACTGATCTCTGTGGTGCAGTTAACATTTCCTGAAACTTTTGTTTGAGAGGAGAATATATTTAATCTTAGAAAACCAAAATCCAACTATTAAACCAGCCGTGCATTTGGCTCAGATTTCTGTCAGCTACAGCTCTAAGTGATGGAATGTCCCTGAAAAGTTCATCAAAATCCGAGGTGGATTAATTTTTTTATTTTATATTTTACAGAGAACATAANGTCAAAGACCCAGAGAAAAGGTAGGTTAAATAAATAATAAAATAAATAAAAGCTTGCTCTAAAAACATCATGAAATGTCAAAGCACCAATGGAAAATTAAATTCTTCATTATAAACTATCAGAAATTGATTTTCTTCTGAAATTAATGGCAGAAAGTGGGACTTATTTCAGTTTCCTGTTTACCAACAAATAATCGAGTCAGTTTGAGCCATTCTTAGTGTGGCTCCAGAACAAACTTTATAACTTTATAATTATAACAAACTTTTCATCATGCTGAACGTCTTTGATAATCACTTAATGTTTGTCTGAGAGGTAAAACACTTGGTTTTGACTTGTTTTTAGACAATGTCTACGTGTTAAATGATCCTTTATAAACAGATTGTATAAATATTATTTTAGAAAAAAAAAGTTTTTGTACTGTTTGTACCTGTATACCTGATCAAAGCTGGTTTACTCTGTAATTAAATTGTATCCAACTGCTGAATCTGAACTATGACCAGTGTTTCAGCTTGTTTTCTGCAGCTGTTCATGTCTTTGTTAAAACAAGTCAGAGACATGAGCTGACTGCAGACGGTCCACTGGTCCTGTTCTGGATGTTTCTGTGCCACAAACATGGTCCAGTTTACCACAACCATGCTCTGAAATGTAGCATGTTTACCACTCAGTGTGCCTTATAAAACTTAATAGCAAGACAACGTTATTGATTTAGTTTAATTATACTTCATTTGTGGACTCTGTAATAAATCAAAAACACAAGAGTGACATTAAATGTTAAATTAGTCATGTTAATGAATGAAAGAATCAAAACTGGTGAGGCCTCAGCTGTAGTAATTTACATTTTTTAATTAATGTTTATTTATATAAAAACAAACTTGTGTTGACATATTGTAAGAGAAAAAGTGAAAAAGCCTGCCGTTTATATTACCACCATATTTACACCATCTTATAAACCACAAACACAATGTTTGCTTCATTAAACATTCCTCCAGAACTGTTGTATATTAAAGTTTGTCTTTCTTGTTTTTACAACTTGCACTCAGTTTACTAATCATTTCAGCACACCATCCAAGTTTATTGGTGACAAGATTAGGATAAACTGGGACAGTTAGAGAAAAAACTGTGAAAAAAAGCTTTATTGTTATTTAGGTTTAAAGTGAACATCAGTAAAATAGGCTGTGTCTTTTCACTTTCTCTATAATCCTGTGTACCTTCAGATTAAATAAAAACAGGCTTTTGAAAATCTCTTATTGTGGGCCATGTTTTTAAAACATTTTATCTAAAAAAAAAAGTGCCAACACAGCTGAAAATCTTTTTATACCAGTCTTCATTGCAGTATGGACTGGTTCTCAAACTGGTTCTTGGTATCAGCTGCTCAATGAGCAAATAAGAAATGAGACTAACGTAGAAAATTAATTTTATATCAAATATACACAATTTAGTTGATAGTATTGTATTTTTGAGAGGATTTTTAAATAACATTTTTTCTAAATATTTATAAAGGTTCAAAGTAATATTTCTTGGAAAATGAATGTGTAGTCAGGAGGAGTAAAAC